GGGTCCCCCCCCCCCCCCGGGGAATCTCACTGACAAAATACATTCATTAGATTATATTATCACTGGGAGGAGGAATGGTAATAATGAGGATGGAAGGAGCGAGAGGCGAATGGATGAGGTTATAATGAGACTGGAGGGTAGCCAGTGACTAGACAAGGGAGAGATAGCAGCATTGGAGGAAGAGGGGCTTCCATGCATGTACATTCACTGAGATACGGTTTCTGGCGCCAATACAGAAGAAGAGAGGGACTGTGCACTAAACCTGTGTGGTGTTAAGTCTGAGCTCCATGTAGGCAAAACAGCTGTCAGCCTGCTCAATAAAGAACAGAATGAACACAAACGCCGCCCCATGAGACGTCAGGTCGAACACGCTACCTTCCCCCTCCCTGGTGTCATTGTCATAGTTTTCCTCAATGGTGGCCCCATACAAAACACTAAACCGGCAACTTGCTGCTGTGACTCTCGCGCTCCGGAAGAGACAGGAGTCGGCAGCTTGGGTAATACAGCGATGTTTCTGTGCGTTTCAGATGCACGCCGTCACTCTCTCCCGCCGTTCTCAGTGCTGCATGGCGCCCGGGTTCTTGTGGCTTGGCGGTGGCGGGCCCCCTCCTGACCCAGGTGTCTTCTTCTTGTGGCCCTGGATGCAGTGGGAGCTGTTGCAGCCCTCGTCGTCATCTTCGCTCTCGGTGGAGCTTTCCCCAAAAGCTCTCGGCTTCTCGTAGACGCAACAGCCTGCGGGATAAAGGACACATTCGGCTAGAGAAACAATGTACAAGAATTCAACAGAGAGGGCGGTGTGGGGTACGCCACTCTGAGGAGAACTCAATACCCAAGTGGATCATGACTAGGAGCCAGCAGATGTTTTAAAGCTGAACTCCGGCCTTCCCTTCAGTCCTGCACAGTTGTACCGGCTCCTCTCCTGGACTGAAATTGCTTCTTCTGATTTCACTGCACACTGCAAGCTTCTCACACTGTGCATGAGAAGCTGCAGCAAGTCAGATAGAGTCCGCTTCATTTCCTGGCTGGAAAATCTCCCTATGATCGGCAGTGCCAAGGAAGCATGGAGCCGGCTTCCTTTCCAATCAGGAAGCCGGGCGGTGGGCTATGACCTGCCTCCTGATTGGCTAGGAAGCTTCACGTGTTGCTAAGCAGCCTAACTTCCTTACCTATCAGGAAACCAGGCGGGACGTAATGACCAGCCTCCCTGATTGCTCAGGAAGCCAGGCTCCCTAGCAACAAGTGAAGCTGGCTTCCAAGCCAATCAGGAAGCTAGGAGGCAAGTCATGACGTGCCGCCCCGCTTCCTGATGAGCTAGGAAGCCGGCTTCACTTGTTGCTAGGCAGCCAGGCTTCCTGACCAATCAGGAAGCTGGACGGCACCTCATGACCCCGCCGCCCGGCTTACTGATTGGTCAGGAAGTCAGCCTCGGCATGTAAAGCCGGTGTTCTTTCGATAGAATACCAGCTTCCCAGGCAATCCGGAAGCCGGGCCATGATTTGCCGCCCAGCCTCTTGATAATCGGGGGCACACGGCACCAGTACTCGGTATCGGCGAGTAACGAAAAAGATAATCCGTACTTGAAGTCGATACCAAAAAACTGGTATCGGTGCATCCCTGGTATCCAGAAATAAAAAGAGGGCTATATCCCACTCAGACACAAAATGATCAAGTAGATTCCAGCAAATACCTAACTATGTGCTAAAGAGATTATGATGTCTAATTGTTGTAACATAGAGTTCTGCTTTAACCCCTCCGTGACGGGAGACGCACAGTGTACGTCGCCAGCATCAGGGCTGTTTAAACAGACTCCCGGTGACTTTTGCCGCCGGGACTCTGTTTAAACTTGTAGAGCTGACTGTCGGCTTTACAACAGAAGCGATCCTGGCGACTTACCTGTCGCCAGATCGCTTCTGTGTCCCGAGGAAGGGGCCGCCCCCCCCCCGCGCTCCGTTGCCCCTCCTACGGGCCCGGGATCGGCGATCTTTGTGTCCGCGTGGAGCTGGGGAGGAGGTCGAGTATTTTGTTGTGTTTTGGGGCATAATTAAATTTTTCACTAAATATTGGTGTTTAATAAGGAGTTGCGCTAATATTGCGCAACATAAAAATGTGCAACTACCACCATTTTATTCTATAGTGTCTTGGCATTCAGAAAATATATAATGTTGGGGGGTTTTAAGTAATTTTCAGGCCTAAAATGTGGAATATAACATGGGTACAAAAAATGAAAAAAAGGCCTCAGTCATGAAGGGGTTAAGATCAGCCTGGTAAGTATGTGAAAGGGAGCCTAGAGCGCCACCTGCTGGCCAGAAATAGTAAAAGTGAAATTATTTGGATGAAATACCGAATATCTTTCTAAATAATTTTAAATTGCTAATATGAAAATAATATTCAATACGTACAGAAACACTGGAGAGCCTGGACAGATAACTACACACATTAGGGATGAAGCAATACAGTTTTTTTGGTATCGAGTACCGATATTTATCTTTCGGTACTCACCGATACTTCCGCTAGCATGGAGCCGGCTTCCCAGGCAATCAGGAAAGCTAGGCAGCATGTCATTACCGGCTCAATGCTGATTGGCCAGGAAGCCAGCATGGAGCCAGCCAAACAGCATGGAGCCAGCTTCCCGGCCAATCAGCATGGAGCCTGCTTCCCGGCCAATCAGCATGGAGCTGGCTAAACAGCATGGAGCCAGCTTCCTGGCCAATCAAAAAAGCCAGGCGGCGAGTCATTACCCGCCGCCTGGCTTCCTGATTGGCCAAGAAGCCAGCTCCATGTTACCTCGCGGCACAGCCGGTCAGAGGAATTCTCCCTCTCACCGGAGGTTCCATTATTAGGGAAGGTATTGGAGCATTTGGGCGGGTACTCGGTATCGGTGCATCCCTAAAACACCTACAGGGGTCTGACATTTACTCCTGGGGGCAGTTTAATACTTTCACATAAAGCGTGCGGGGCAAAGCAATAAGCTTGCACGGATTCCCCTCTCCCCAGCACCACAATTACTTCTCCTTTGCTTTGCCTGGTGCAAAATAAAAAATACCCCCGTATGGAGGAGCATGTGACATCCTCCCCTTTTTTTCTACCCCAACCCCCCCCCCAAAAAAAACAGCCAAAAGTTGCCAGTTATTAACATACTCGCCTCCCAAGGCCTGCGTGTCTCACCTTCCCAATGCTAAAGGCTCTTCAACATTCAACACTACTGGGAGTGTTGAAAGCTTGCGTCCCCCGCCACGTTCCTTCCTCCGACCCCTATGCCTGTAGGTTTTGGAGGACGGAACCACAGCATAGGGGAGGGGACGCAGGAATCTGACACTGGCAAGAGACTGGTGGTGGTTGCTGTGCTGGGACGGAGGGGAGGTAGGTGACACGGTTCTCTTAGAGGACTTGGACAGGGTCACTTTAAAGGCAGAACGTTCTATGAGGAGCGGAGATTGGATTGTCAGCACAGAGTCAGTCATGTATTTCGCACTGACACCTAACTGCTGCCATGATGATGTATTATTATACAGTTTACGCTGCGCTTTACAAGCGGTAACCAGTCCCTGCTGTCCTATCAGTCGTTAGAAGCGCTGCTGATGATCTAACACATGGAAGAACCAAGTCCTCTGAAGTATCAGATGAGAAGTACCGGTTACCATGGTAACCTCATGGAGATCTGTCACTACCACCCACTATCAGATGCCGCTCTGCGTTTCCCAAATATCCACGTTCCAAATTTAGCCAAGCGGAGTGACTCAGAGGCTCCCATCGCCTAGAAAGGCTGCAGAGAATTCAGGACATCACTGGCGCTTAAAAGGCTC